AAAAGTTTGAGTTATTCAAAGTCCTGAAAACTTAATTAAAAACTGACAATTATTTGATTTTTACAAGAATTTTCAAATCAATGTATTTTTCACTGAAAAAGGCTATAATTTCCTCTACTAATTTTTGGTCACAAGAAAAACAATTTTCAACCATGAATTTGAATGTTCTAAATAAAATCAAATTTAATAATCAAAAAATCTATTGATCTTTATTGTTAATAACAAAGATTTTGACAATAAAAATTGGTTATGTTTTGAGCATTTTTCACCATGAAATGTTTATTTTTTTTTTTTTTATTGAATCTATAAAGGTACCTATTTTTAGGGGATACCCATATTTGAGTAATCACTCCATTTATTTTTTTAAGCAGTATATTTATTTTTGTCTAACAGCCTGAATATTCAAAAAATCATTTAAGAAAAAAACAAAAACATGTGCCTTCCAACAGTATTTGAACTTGCAGGAGAAACTGCCATTAAATCCAACAGAGAACATTGTCAATAAAGCAAAGTTCTATGCTGTCTTTTAGGAAACATCTCTCTTGTTCAGATTCTTGAAACGCAAACTGATTTTTAAAGTGGTGATGAATTTTTTTTTATTTATTAATTCAATATATTTTTTTATTACTTTAAAACATTTTTAGTGGAAACCAATAATTAGATGCTCCATTTTTTTTTTTTTTTTTTTTTTTTTTTTTAAACAGTATATTTTTTTTTTTCCTAATGGCCTGACTATTCAAGAAATCTTATTAAGGAAAAAAAAATGAACCTTTTTTTTTTTTTTTTTTTTTTTTATTAAACAATGCATTTACTTAAATATAGGTATCCACTGAAAATAACATTTAGTGATAAAAGTTGTTTCTATCCAGACATAGCCTAGAATCGTGTATTACAACAGTGCCATTTGTTGCAACTGATAGGAATTTCGTAAGATTTACAGGTCACATGCTCAATGTAGTTTAAACCTGGTGAGTACAGTGGTCAATGGATTATTTGGGATTCATGTGTTTTTTTTTTTGTTTTTGGGAAGCAGTTTTGTGTCATTCATGTATGATTGGTGGGGAGATTTTACTGTGATGGCCCATCGCCAATAAGAGCCAAGTATAAAAAGGTGCAGAATGCTTTATATCCTATCTGCCAAGATAGACTGCATTTTCACAAATGGTCTTTAAAAATTCTAACAGAGCATAATTCACAGTATTATAAACGTACACCAGCTTGCACAACACTCCTGCTCACAGGCAAGATCTGTAAACTCATGCTGCAGTCTCTGCCATATACTTGACCATCTGCCTTTAAAACTGGAAACCTACCTCTGATGAAGTGACATAGTACCCCAGTTCAATGTTCTTTATCAATGGGGCAACATGATCTCAGGATCCCCTGTAGAGAGGTAAAACCCCATCACTGCACAAAATCACCTTTTGAAGTGGATACTTTCAGACACATGTATTAAGCATTCAACGTTTGTTTTGACTCCACATGAAATAATTCAGCAAGGGTTTCCATATTGTATATAATACAAGAAATTCTGAGTGAATATTAAACGCCAAAAAGGTGTTGTATTATACATTTTCAGAAATTTTTACTGAGTTTAAATTGTATTTGAAATAGCATGATTGTAAATGGACTCACTGAGCAGAATAGATAATAAAACACATAATAGGCAAATGTTGATAACAGTTGTTTACAAAAGGATCAGTTGAAAGCATCCATGACACAGGGCAACATTGATCTTGAGAACTGTTGCTGTAAATTGGTCTTCCTGGCATAGGACCAGCCAAGAGGGGACCAAGACTTTCAACATGCCGGGTATGACGATAAACTACATCCGCGTCCTGGGTATGACTATAAACTACAACCAACAACAAGGTCTCTGATAATGTTTTCGGAAAAATAATGTTGCCAGCTATACGTTTTTTGGAAAAAATAATTATTGCCAGCTATACGTTTTTTTGAAAAAATAATGTTGCCAGCTATACGTTTTTTGGAAAAAATGTTTTTTTTTGAAGTGCGTATTGCCAGACATGAGCAAGTGGCAACACTGCAAGACAGTGACCTTGAGCAAGTAAACATTTCGCCATTTAGAATGCAAGATGAAATTCACAGTATCCCAGCTGAGATGTTGCAGCAGTCAATGAGGAATCTCAACAGCAGATTTCAAGAATGCCTTCGTACAGGAGGACGCCATCTACAGGACGTAATTTTTAAAAAATGAAAATTCCATCATTGTTTCTTAAATGGCATATTTTAAGGTTTCAATTACTATGAATAAAATATTTTTCTTCCATCCCTGTTGGTTTTATTGGATTGTTAAAAAGTTCCCATTTTTTGGGGTCACACTGTATTTAATGAAATATTTGTACAACACTGAGATTTTAATGGATAATATGGTAATTTTCAAAAAAGATTTATGTAGGAATGCCTGTATTACATAATTGAGTATCTTAAAGACAGAAAATTCACAAAAATTGACTTAAAAAAAAAAAAAACATGTAAATAAAGGGAACATACAAGATCTGCCATGTTTTGATAATATTAATCTTACAACAAAGCATCTTTCCCTGAAAATGCAAAAATAAGTTTTTAAACAGAAATTAGAAAAAACCTACAATGGCTAAACATCCAGTTCATCTGTATTTTTTTTCATTTGAAAAATTAAATATTTTAGTGAAACCTATGTATGGCACTGAGATTTTAATTGATAATATGGAACTTTTTAAAAAATAAAATGACATATTGATGGCTGTACTACGAGGTCATATTACACACAAGGATGTAATTTATTCCCTGTTTTTAGCTTCAGAAACCTGGTGTCATTTTATAAACAAAAAATATTGTATGTTGTTGAATTAGCCAACCAACCCAAATCCATTGTAAATATTCCCTGGCCTACTTGAAACACAGGAACTAATGCTATGGTGTCAGTGAAAAGGCTGTGTGTCATGGGCAAATATACATTAAGATGTCACCTCTAAATCTATATTGTGTACACAAACCACCATCACTTGTATGAAGGCAGAACCTGTTCTCACCATCAAACACTATACAATTCTTAAAGCCATCCTTTCACAACCTTTTATTTATTTATTTTTTTTTTTAAACCTTTCATCCTGAGCAAGGCGATAATACCCCTAAGGAGTTATTGAGACTGAAAGAAAAAAAATGAAAAACATTAATGAGGAGAAATAAGGAAAATAGCACCAGCCTACAACAATGAATTTAAAAAATTGTAAACTCTGTCTGGAGGAGAACAGAGCTATAATCACCTTCCCAGACCAACACAAATTACTACATAAACTATCAAAATTTATCTCAAAATGCATAGATGAAAACAAATTTTTACTACATTACTTAAAAACTAAAAACAAACACCTTATAAAATACGTTAATGGAAAATGCAAATATATGCACTGTATACAACACAGATAATGTTTCATTAAAAACGACAGACAAGGTACTATGGTTAAGCTTTTTATTTAATTTTTCTTGTGTCCAATGAGCTTTCTTTTCTGGACAAAGGGTGTATAAGAACTGTCCAAATGTTTTATATTTCCGAGCGCTTTCGGTTATACCTTCAGCCATTATCAAGGATGATTCGATTTTTCAGCTTACTTGAGTGTGTGCATTCTGTGTAAAAACATTATATAAAACAATTTAATAATTTCTCCTTCCATTTCCTTAGGTCGTATATAGTGGGTGTTCCAATGCCAATCTCCTCAGTCAGGCACTTCACACTTTACACCCTTGTGTAATTTTCCCAACAGTTTGAATTTATGTGATTATTGATAAACATAAATGCTTTCTTCCCTGTGCTTTTCCTATAAATACTTTCATGGTAATTGTTCAGATGAGCTCTTTGCTATGGTATCTAGATTTTAAAAATTTAAGCACAGTACTAGATTGGCAGCTAGGTCTCATCATTTTACAGTTGAAATGGCTAGAAGTAACTAAGTTCTATGTTAACAGTTTCTTCTCTCAGATTTCTTGCTGATGAAATTCTCTTCTGGCTTCTTGCTTTCCAGTCAACTTCGATCTTAAAAAATTTAAATGAAATGTCAATTGTTATCTTCTTAATTCCTGTTTTTTTTTTTTTTTTTCAATAATATTTTTCTTTTTCTCAAATACTCAGAAACTCCTTGCATCTTAGTGACCTTATTGCCTTGCTTGGGGTGAAATGATTTAAAAAAAGAAAAAAAAAAAAATGGACAGGATTTCCCAAGCATGCATCACACATGGCACTGGAAGAAATGCTAATTTAAAAAATTTTAAATTTGGAAAACAAAAAAAACTTTTTATAGTTTTTGTCTATTTTCTTTTATTACCCCCAAATGTTCCCTTTTGCATGTAAACAGTTTAAGTACATGATTTTAAAAGAATTCCTTGTTTATGTATGAGGTCTGATCAAAAAGTGTCAGGACTGTTGTTATGGAAACAGAAGTAAAGTATACAAGGTGAAGCCGCTTGACACAAATTGACCTTGAACTCTATTCCATATACACACTAAATTATAATGTTATCACTCACTTCCAGTGTTTATAGCAGTGCTTGGAAGGAAAGTGTGTAGAGTGTGGTTATCTCCCCACACTACAGAGGTTACATCAGCAGTTTTGGCTAAGCACATTCCTCAGGTCCAACAACCACCATATTTCCCCAGATCTTGCCCCTTGCAACTTTTCCTTCTTTACAAAAAATCAAATCCTATTTGAAAGGAACAAGATTTCAAGATATCTAGGAAATCAAAGAAAATGTGATGAGGCAGCCACTTGCTATTACAATAAAATGGAGTTCCAGGAATACTTCCAACAATGGAAACAAACCTGGATAAAGTGGATGGCTTCACAAGGGACTACAACAAAGGAGATTAAATGGCGAATTGATATGTGTTGTAGTTTTCTTTTTATAGCACCTGTGCCAATTCTTTTTGATCAGATCTCGTACTTTAGCTGTCAAAATGCTTGTTATATTAATTTGCTTTTGATTTTTTTTGTTTGTTTCAGGAAATAAATGGGAAAAATACTTGAAGTTAATAAGAGAAGCCAATAAGAAACATAAAAAATGTCACCAAGCCAATTGTACTTGCCATGAAGGGTTTGTAACTTTTCTTTTATGATTTACAAAATCATGGACTAATTTCACATCATGTTTCACTTTTTTATAGAATGATTCCACCAAACCTCTGTGTGTGTGTGTGTGTGTGTGTATATATATATATATATATATATATATATATATATATATACCTGATGTGATGAGAACGAAAGTAATATATAAATTTGAGCATTCACAGCATTAATTCAAAAGAGGGCTCAATACCGATAGTAGAACGATAATTATTCCTTTATCATATAGATGAAACTATTTTACTCACTACAAAGATGCAACTTGGTTTCAGTGCATTTTCAGTTCATATGCATCATACCGGTGTTTATCAGCAGGAAAATTTCCACAGACCAGTCAACATTAAACACCCAATCCATTCATCACCAAACTGCTACAAACAAGCACTAGTATTTCACTCCGTTAACTAATATATATATATATATATATATTTTTTTTTCCTTCTTCTCAAACAAATGGAAAACAAATGGACTTTTCAATATATTTTTGCCTACAAGCAGGATAACCATTTTTCATTCTTTTAATATGAGGTGCAGTTGAAATGCACTGAAACCAAGTTGCATCTATATATTTTGACTAAAAATGATTTTGTCTATATGATAAAATTATAATAAAGGAAATATATATATATATTTCATTGAATACAACAGACAAGGTGCTTTGATTTAGTTTTTTATACAATTTCTCATGCGATCTAATTATTTTTTTCGATCCTAGTTCACAACAAACAGCAACAGATGTAATCTTTTATCGTGGTCAGCCCAGGGTGGATCCTGGTTTGATCATTGGAGTGATTTCTTCAATCCTGACCTGCCTTAGGTATCTTCATGTTGGGCTGGTCCAAGCCAAGCGAAGTCATACAATAAAATTGGAAAAAAGACAGTACTCAAAATATATAAAAAAATAATTACTATCTTTATATCAATTCTGCATACAATGGTTCGTTAGTAATTGTGTCCGCATACAGGTGTTTGTCAACCTAACCTGTTCCTAAGTCAGAGGTTCTTGTATTTGGCAGGAGTTGTGGAATCTCTCAGTGACCTCCGCCACTTCCTCAGCTCTCAACTGTCAACTTGCAATTCTTAACTGTATGAATGGCTTTTGCGCGTTCATTTTTATGGACTCCAACTAGAAACCAGTGCAGGGCAAGATGTAGATTAGGTTTCAGTGAATCCTTTGATTTCCAACAAAAATTTGTTGTTTTTGGTCTTGAGAAATTAAATTAATTCATAATTTTGAGGAATTCTCTCATGAGAAATGTGTGCAGGCATCACTCTGCTTGTCTACTTCTTTCTCTTATTACTATCTAATACCATTGATTTCCATTGGGCATGAGCAGCTCCTTCAACCTCCTTAATGTCTCGTCTGTGCCTGCTACTTTTCAGTGGGTGCAGGTACACCCTCATCCTTCCTTGATTGCTCTTCTGCACCTGTCACCCCCAACATTTGATTGAAGGTTAATTAAAAAAGAATTATGCTTTCAAATGCTATTTTCCATAAGTGAATTGACACAATTGGCTTTCTCACCTTTGACCCAAGAGACACTTTCCCAGGGAAATTTTTGCAACTCCCATTATAGTGACAATTTGTTCAGCCAAAGGTCATCATTTTGCAGGTGTTCAATTTATTGTTTTTCATTCTCATGAATCATTTATTATCAGTCTATCATTCTTTATATTTTTTTAACCCTTTTTATGCTAAATTATTCATCATTATCTTGTTTTCATTGATATTCCAAGTTGCCATTATTATTATTAATTACCAGCAGCTTAAATAGTGTTACAAGTGGGGGTAGTGGTTGGTTTTAAATCTTTTATTTTACAATCAACACCATCACTTGACAAGACACCAGAAGTGTTGAAATAAATAGCTATTTCTGTACTGATGTCATAACATACTTGTGTTATAATTTTTAAATAAATATTATTTGCTCTAATTTGTATTGAGCACTTTTTTTAAAATAGTGTTGTTGGTTACTGGATTTTTATTCCATCTATACCAACTTTGTATTCAGAGATATATTACCTGAACCCTTTATTTCATCCATGGAGGTAAATTGTTCTATGTGAATTCTAGAAGATCCTTGATACAGTTCGCAATGGCGAGAGAAAGTGATAACTAGCCTGCATTCTTGGATGAGTTCAAGACATCCATATACCGCAAACCAACATTCACTTGAAAATACCTCAACTTCCATCACCCATACAATGTAAAGAAATAATCATCTGCTGCTTACAACATTGAGCAAAAGTCATAAGTGGTGACCCAGGGACATATGAAAAAGAAATGGTAACAACTATTCTGGGTACATGGCAGTATAGCTCCAACAAACTAGAATAGAAGTGTTCAAGAAGTTAATAACATTCAGAAAACAGTTTCAGTCTACCTACCCTACGTGAAGGGATTATCGGAGAAAATACCAAAGATCTTTGGTCCATATAATATCAGGAAAACCTTCAAAAGACACCTCCCCCTTCCCATAGAGGAGAACATGACTAAGGACTGAGTGTACACCATCCCATGCAGCTATAGTAAGAAATATAAAGGAGAAACAAGCCACCCCCTTAAGGTAAGAGTGTACGAACATCAGAAAGCCATAACATGAGGGGAAATATAAAAAACAGGTGTAGATGACCATATATGGTGGGAAAAGTGAGATTACTGCCCCCTGTGGGATGAAGTTGAAATAATAAACGGAGAATATCACTGGAAAATATGAAAACTTAAGGAATCAGCACATATGTTAGGCCACAAAAATCTCCTAAGCCGGCCAAGCATAGAAATGAATACAATATGGGAACCAGTAATATGGAGTGCTAGAGAAAAGCAACAATAACAAAATTGCAATATGAGCTCTGTTAAAAATGTTACTGAGATGTTATGTTTATAAGTGCCAAAAATTCATAAACTGATGTCCTCATAGGCACTTGGCCCAGTGGATAAAAGCATTGGTTTAATTCAGTGTGTTGTGAGTTCAATACCTAATGTGGTGACTGCAGTGGTGAACAAAAAAAATTGGAGAGTTGAGTTAAAGAGATAACTGAGACATCCAGAGGAGGCATGGCAAGTGGAAATATAACTAGAACAATCTACCAATGGATGAAATAAAGGGTTCAGTTTAAAATTCCAATCACCTGAAGTGTACATCAGCCAAAATGTTGTGAATACAGCAGTAAAGATGAGGACAACAATGTAAATAATTATTTCATCTCAGAGATGTGTGTGTGTGTGTATATATATATATATATATATATATATATATTAACATATTTATGTATATTATCTAGAGAGAGGGAGAGATGTGATAAATAAGCTGCGACTATTTTCTTATTCCTTGGCTAAGGAATATTGTTGAATTACCCTGTCTCACTGGCTAATTAAAAATGAGCCGACCCTCTTCCATATGATCTTCTAACAATTGTTCATAGAAAAAATTCTAATCTCAGGAATTTCTGCTGAACAATTTTAGGGGTTAAACAGTTTACTTTCATTCTTTGCAAGTCTTTTTAAAAGTTTGTCCCATTATGTTGGCATGTCCAAGAAGCTTGTCCCATTGTGTTGGCATGTCCAAGAAGCTTGTCCCATTGTGTTGGCATGTCCAAGAAGCTTGTCCCATTGTGTTGGCATGTCCAAGAAGCTTGTCCCATTGTGTTGGAATGTCCAAGAAGCTTGTCCCATTGTGTTGGAATGTCCAAGAAGCTTGTCCCATTGTGTTGGAATATCCAAGAAGCTTGTCCCATTGTGTTGGAATGTTAAAGTTTACTTGGTGTCTGATAATCTTAGAATCGCTCTTAAAGGATTCTTGCTAAAAATTGGGAGAGAATGGTTGTTGTTTTAAAATAATCCTTTTTGAAAATTAGATATTTGACTATGAAGTCAGTTGAGTTATTGCTTGCAATGTTTTGACCTTGTATTTTAAATATTTCTTGTTTAGGGTCATTGACAGTGACCTTTGGGTTTGGGAGAAAGAGAAGAAGGTTATTAACCGTGAACAGATTGCAGAAGCAAGAAAAAAGGGTGTCTACTACCAAATCGTCTCTCATAAATTGTACCGAGACAGTAGTTGTATGTTTCCAGCAAGGTAAGTATAAAGAAATTTAATGTATAAATAAAAATGAATTATTTTATAGCCTTATAATATTTTATATTCCTTTCCAGGTCTGAGGGTTGGCTGAAAAGTTCATAGGCTGACTATGAAGAAATGCTGTTAAACAGGGGCGTATTCATAATGCCCCCCCCCATTTTGGGATGGAAAAATATAAATGAAATAACCTTTAATGGTCTTGATTAGTACTTGAAAAACAACAACATTCAAAAATTACCTGAACAAACGTTATCATATTTTAACCTTTTGAGCTTTTGCAGAAGCAAAGTTACTCATCAAAATCTTGGTCAAAGTCTATCTTTTCCACAGTTTCATGTTCAATTGAGATGAGGGACAAATTGGATAAGCGATCTTGCAACATACTCGATCTCAAGTGACTTTTAATGAGCTTCACTTTTGAGAAGTTTCTCTCTGCAGTAGCAACAGAAACTGTGAGCATCAAAAACAAGCATAGAACAATCACAATATTTGGCACTGTTTCTTTAACTTGTCATCGATAAATCCATCTCAGCCATTTGATAGCTGATTTGGTGATCATGGTCATGTCACGTTCCATTTTGGAAGCTGCCACTAAAAAATCCCAAAATCAGAACTTCCAAAAGCAGCTGAGCTCGGTCTAAGTCAGCACTGTATTCACTACTGAGAATTTTAAATTTTCGCTCCAACTCGCCTTCAGTTTCTTCCAGGATAATTCAGCAAAAACAGTTTGCAGATGAGACATGGAGTCAAATCGTGCTTCCAGTAAATTTACAAGTTGATCATGACATTCATAAAGATTTCTCTTTACTTTCTGCACAAGTGTTTGATATACATTATCTTCGTTTTCCCCAGGTACCTTTCTCTTTCTTCTAATCCACTTTTCCATTTCCTCGTACTTTGTTTTACTGTGATTAACCAATTCAGACACCAGCCTGTCCCTGTTTCGGTTAAAGAAAATTTTGGTCACATCCATGTGGGTTACACACACATCCAAACCAATACCATGTTCCTGAAGTTTTTTTTTTTGGATGAGATTTATTTGTCCCAGAATTTCTTCCCAGTAAAGCAAATGTGATGTAAAGGAGAAGTTTTCAAATTGAAAGCAAAATGATTTGTGCATCCCCTCTCACTTGAAGATTTCCTGAAGCTGAGGTTAATGAATCGAGTGCCTGAATCACTCCTTGAAATCCAGTTCATAATGTGCACTTCAATGGGTGGTCACCAAATGCTTTATCATGACCTTCACATGCAAAGATAAAACTTCCCATTTGTGATCAGAAAAGGAGAAAAATGTATAGAGTCTCTCAGTCACCCTGAAAAATGTAATACCACTTGCATTCACAGCTGAGGCATGAACACCGCATAAATTCAGACTATGATTAGAATATGGTACAAATTTAGCTTTCCCATTTACGTTTCAGAGATTCGAACACCATCATGAACTCCTGCGGATATTAGTATAGAAATGAATACAATACAACCAGTAATATTGATTATGAGAGTCAAAACCAATTATATCAAAGTTCAATATGAGCTTTTGTAAAAAATGTTCGAACGTTATGTTTATAACCGACTTAGTACAAATAAACTGACGTCCTCATAGGCACTTGGCCCAGTGGATAAAAGCATTGGTTTGATCCTATCCATCTACATTTTTTCTCTGGTCAATCAAAATCAAGTAAGCTGTCTTCCCATGCTCTGTGATAAAACCAAGAAATGATTCTCACACCCCAATTCTTTGTCCTCAACAACGACATATCGACAAATGAAACTCATCTGATCAATAATGTTATAGTGGAAACACCTATTCTAGAATTAATAGACTCTCCCACCTATAAAAGTCAAAAATTTGAGTCGTCGGCTCAGTGATTTTTAAAGGTTTTATTAAAGTATCAGCCATTTAATTTTCGTCATACCTATTATATCATTTTTCTAACGTTTTGTACGTTGAACCTATTTTTCGTCGACTTAGTACAAATACAATGGCCTTGAAACCACTCTACAACAGAGAATTTTCGGCGTGCTTGTCTAGTATGATTGCAAAATAATTGGCTTTTCAAATTTGATCCAATATATTTTCCTTTACGTGGTTTCCCAAGATATGAATGAATTTATTTTGGATTTTTGGTGACAAGTACCACTGGTTATCATTTACTTCTTTCAACTAATGCTTTCCAAGAACAGGATCATTCTTGCTCATAAGTTGAACAAGTTCTATAAAGTTACCTTTATTGGAACTATATACATCTTCTCAAGGACCTCTAAAAAGCAGGTTCTCTTTAGTGAGAATCTTCACAACATCAAGTAACAATGTCACCTGTTACCAAATCTGTCTTTCTGTCATAGTTCTTGTAATTTACTGTCAAGGGTTTTACCTTTAAGAGCCATTTCCAACATCTTCAATTCCTTGAAAGCACTTTAGTGCTCAGATGAATTTTTATGTTCAGGCTTTTTTTAATTAAGCTTCCAGAACTTTTGCAATCCTGGATTTCTTGCTCGACTTTATTTGTGTTTCTCTGTCTTCAGGAAGAGATAACAGTAAAAAGCAATCAAGAGATTTGTTTGTCTTTGAATAAAAATAGGTCTCAAATTAGTCTCTCCATTCTCCATAGTAAAGTAAGCATTAGGGACGGACTATTGTTCCCTGTGAAAAAAGGCAGAAGTTCAAACTGTTTAATCTTTGTTTGAGATTTTGAGGTCCCAAATCAAAAAACTTTGAGACAGCAAGTTTGTTGACAAATGCTTAGTCTTTGTACTCAGCAATCTCTAAATTTGCCTGTTCTATTTCTTTTTTTTCATCATTTTCGTCTTCATATTCATACCTGTTCTTATACGCATGCACTGAGCTTTTTTTTTGGACATGATAATTGTCAACATTAATTAAAAAGGAAGTTAATTCCTGCAGAGGATACTCTTAAAACTTTTTATTTTCAAAAAAAAAAAAAAATTCCAATCTATTATTTTTTTCCATGTTCCTCCCCTCCTAGTTCTGATCTACATTCATCATCCTCGTGGGATTTGCATTAGATTGCTTTAGTTACATATTTCTTCTGTAGGAGAAATTTTAAAGATGCATCACCTTTTACGAGAATGCGTTCTCTGGTAATTTCAACTTAGTCCCAATCGGCACCACTCAGTTTTGCTGTTTACTCATTCTAATCGATAAAAAAAAATAGGAAAAGTTTAGGTTTTATATTAGATCCCAATTTTAGGTAATTTTTTCGTTTTTGTACTAAGATACAATTTGGCACCTTGCTGAAATACGAGGGGGGTAAAAAAAAAAATGGGCTGACCTATGAAGACACATTCATGACCCATTGACATCTTTTTAATTAATTTCTTTTCTGTTAATTAAAAACTGCATAAATAATTAAGGAATACACTCCTGTAATTATTTACAGCCAATGTATTGTTTAAATCAGAGCTTAAATTCAATTTTAAAATCTAATATTTTTTTCTTATTTTTTTTCTTATCCCTTTTTATTTCATTCTTATATTCAATATAATAATCTAAAATTTAATCCATATTAAGGTCATAATAAAAATAACTGAAGATTGAAAATTTGTTTTAAAAAAATCATTAAAATTTTATAAATGTTCACCTTTGATGCTTGCATTAAATATTAACCTATTCTTCAGAGAACTGAGTGACAATTAATTTTTTAGGCAAGCAACTACCCCCTCATTATTTTGGCGGTGTATACTTTTTTTTTTTTTTAACCTTACAGCGTTAGGAAAAATGGTAATGAAATTAAACTAATAAAAACTGAAATATTTAATAATTTATTTATTTTCATCAGTTCAGCCAGTTATTTAAATATATTTGTGTTTTAAAATAAAGTTTTTTTTTTGTTTTTTTTTTAAACCATAAACATTAAAAGTCAATATTAAATAATTACATTTCTGACTTTGTTTTTATTTTTTTAGAGAAACAAATCTTTTGTGTTTCTGTATTTTTGGAGGATGAATCTCTTTTCAATATACATGTGTTTTTGTGGGGGGATTCTATAGTTGTGTTGGAATGGAGATTCTACAGTTCATCCTAAATGAATATTTAAAAATATTTTAAAAATCATTCCAGAATAATTTAAAACGTAATATTTGAAAATTTTACATCTAAACTTACCTTTTTTATATTACGAATTTAAGAATCTTAGTTTGTAATACTAATATAAAAAGTTAATCTTGTAATATGCACTATATTTGATCTTTCTGAAAATGTTTAGTTTAAAAAATCTCAAAAAAAATTTAAAATATAATATAGAATGTTATTTTCATACAATTTTAAAATAGAGATTTTATGAAAAATCTATTTAAATCTCTGATGAGCGTGATATTTATACAGTTTTTGAGTTCTAAAAATTGAAAGTTTAGTAAACTTAAGAAAAATGTAAAATTTCTTAAATCTATATATTTCTGGTTCTACTTTACTATCAATGTTTTTCATTACTTAAAAAAATCTCCAATCTTTTTCTATGAAAAGAACCAATTGAAAAGAAAAAATAACATTCATTTTCAACAAATTTTAAAGATCTATAGTTTATTAATCGAATAAGGAGATTCTACAAAAAAAGTAAGTTGGTGGTGGAGATTTTTTAAAGTTGATCAGTGGATAATAGAAAATTATTCCAATAAAAATACAAATAATTGGTTTTCTTTAAGATATGCAACTAAATTTTTCAGCATTTTCAAGGAATTTTAACCTTCAAATTAAATTTTTCAAAGTCAGCCTTATATCCTCTTTTGATCTGCGTTTTTGGGGGAAAATAAACTTGTTGTTTTTTACCTGAATTCTTAAATAATTTTTTTTACAATAAATTAATTTGGGCACTTTTCAATAAATATATATCAATGAACTTTTCTTTTTTTTTTAATATTAAAATTTGAAAACTTTTTTTTAACAATGAAACATTATTTCAAAATTTCCCGAAAAAAGCAGATGAAAAGCATTCCTTAAGAAATAAGCTGAAAATTTTGAGGGTGCATATCTTGAAGAT